TCTCTCTCTCTCTCTCTCTCTCTCTCTCTCTCTCTCTCTCTCTCTCACTCTCATGGATCAACTGTGTGACAACTCCAGGAAACTGTGCTCAGCTGAATCAGCATGGGGTCCTCACTGAATATCCTTGTTGAATGACTTTCCCCCTGTTAACTGTTGAATGAGCTGTACATGTTTATTTCATTTTGGCACTGGACCTAAACTAGGAAGGGATCAGCCTGCATAACACATGGCCCAGCTCATAACACATGGAAAGTCCCTCAGTTATGTCACGCCACGTGGAGGGTCAAAGGAAGAGAGAGAGGGAGAAAAAGAAGAGGGGGGAGGGAGGGGGGAGAAAGAGAGAGACAGAGACAGAGAGAGAGAGAGTCATTTCCTTTTTAAAGGCCCACCGAGTCAATGCTCTTCCTGCTCAGTGGCCAACAAGGTGATTGCTCTGCTATTTCCAAAGTGACCAAGAGCTTAGTTGGCATATGAGTTCTGCTGAAGAAAGGCAGAAAAGCTATACACATTCTCTGTGCAGTCTCTAGTTACACCTGCTTTTGGAGGGACCTAATACTATTCATCAGAAAAAATCTCTTTGATTTATTTTGAGCCCCTAGAGGAAGAAATCCCCTAGCATTTTAAAAAGAAAGTTGCCTTCTCTCTATGTATAGGCAACTATAACCTCCCTCACAGCTCTCTCTAAGCAAATAAAATAGATACAGATCAATCATGAGTTGAGCTAACCCCTGTTTTATCTTGATATGTGATTAGGGTAAGTAAACAGTAATGTAAAATGTGAATTTTAAAGACAGAGATAAGCTTTGGAAGAGATACTCTCTCAGAAGAAGGAAGGGGGTGCAAAGGCAGAAAAAAGATGGCTCCATCAACTCCACATGGCTTCTGCATAGTTCAGCCACCCCAATCAAGGCAGGAGAAGCAGTGGCAACCACAAACTCATGCAGTGGTCTTCTCTAAATCATACTGCAGAGGAACTCCATCCTCTCCTAAGCACACTGCTCACTTCTTGCTTCTTGTGAGAGATTTTGACCCCCTCCTTCTTCTAGGAAGAGGAAAAGGAAGGAGCTTCTATCTTTTCAGGTGCTAATACATTCCCATTGCTTTCAGCAGTTCATTGAGGCAGGCATCAAGGGCTTTATATCCATCCACAGACGCTAATCTCCAATGTCTCACTACATTATAAAACAAAAATAGAAATGTAAAGAGATAGGACAGTAATGAAATAGTATTTGATCCTAGAGTCAATAGGGAGTTTATTGAGTAAGGGGATGACATGTAAAGTAAAGACTTTCACTTTAGGAAAATCACTTTGGTAGCTTTCTGGAGGATGGAGTAGAGTGAAGAGAAACTTGAGTCAGGAAGACCAATTAGAAATAATCCCAGGCAACAGGTGATGAGAGCTTGGCTCCCCAGAGACAAGGAGACAGGTATGAGAAATAAAAAGGTAGAAATTATAAGATTTGGCAAATGATGGAATAGAAGGGATAAGGAAGAGTAAGGGGTTGAAGATGACACCAAGGTGATTGGAAGGATAGCCATGCCTTCAGTAGTAATAGTGAAGTCATGAAGAGGATGAGTTGGACAGAAAGGGCATGTAATGAGATGTGTGATCTGTCATATCCCATCTGTCATCTTGTCCCACTGTCCTACCAACTGTAGGGCACCTGTCAAAGTCATAAAGTAACTGATTGGAGGGAGGAGAGATAATGGAGTAGAGTTTTCTAAGGAAGGGAGTGGGGTATAGAAGCTTCCCAAAGCAGACACTCTTATGAGTGCCAGGGAGCAGATAGGGTATACCTACCCTGAAGGTTTGACACCTAGCTAAATTAGGGAAAGATTATAAGCTAGCACAAATGGGAGTTGGGAGATAAGGGTAGATATAAATATTTAAAGGCAAGCCCCCAAATTGGCTGTTTCAAGGAAGATAGAAACCAATCCATCTTCCCACCTTGGAACTAGTTGATTACATAACACTTGGTGTCAGGTCATAGCCCCTTTATGGTCAGATTATGAATCCTCATAATGCCCCAGTTCCCACTTTGGAAATTATTTCTCTAGAGCTACACACAACCGCAGATGAATTCAATATTCCTACAGTGAATTCATCAAGGACCATCATGATGCCCTGCCTAGAACCAGAAAAAGACACTTAGTATATATACTTCTTTTATAGGGTTTTTAAAAATAATTTTTTTCTCTTGCAGTAGAAATAAAAAGTCAAATGTGAGGGGAAGGAAGAAATTCAGGTTTAGAAGGTTTTAATTTTTTGTATTTAAAAAAAATTTACTCTTATGTCAATTAAGTATTATTAGATATTTAAAATTTGCTTGACAGATCAGTGCAGACTTTATGTATGGTATTTTTTTCTTTTTAAAAAATTTTATTTATTTTATCCTGAACTTAAGAAATAAAATAAGCATCTCCATAACATAGCAGAATAGAAAAAAGGTAATTGTACATGAAACTATTATGTAGACTTGCTATTCCGTTTAAGTATATACAAAATTAATATGTAAATCTTTTTTCTTTTTTTCTTCCCTCCCCTCCCCTTGCCCTAAAGTTGACTACCAAAAGGCAAATATATGTAAAATCATCCTATACATACTTGTATTTATCAGTTCTTTCTCTGAATGAAGATAGCATCATCCTTCATAGGTCCTTTGTAGTTAATTTGGGTATTTATAGTAGTCAAAATGATTTAGCCAACCAAAGTCTTTCTTAAAACAATGTTGCTACTACTGTATACAATGTTCTCTTGGTTCTGCTCCTTTAGCTCTTCATTATTTCGTGCAAGTCTATCCATGTTTTTCTAAGACCATTGAGATCACCATTTCTTAAAGCACAATAGTATTCCATCACAATCACATACCACAACTTGTTCAATCATTCCCCAATTCACAGGCATCCCCCACAATTTCCAGTTATTTGCCACCACAAAAAGAACTGCTTTAAATATTTTAGAATACATAGGGTTTTTCCTCTTTTCCCTAATTTTCTTTGGAAATAGACCTAGTGGTAGTATTTCTAGGTGACAGGATATAGGGAGTTTAATAACACCTTGGACATAATTCCAGATTTCTCTCCAAAATGGTTGGATCAGTTCACAGCTCCACCAACAGTGAATTATTGTCCAAATTTTTCCACATCCCTTCCAACACTAGCATACACTTCTTCGGGGAGTCACAGTTCTAATTCTGTGGGAGCTACTTTTCCTTATTTCACCTCCTTTCTAGGCTCACTTCAACCTGATTGAAACATACTTGATCTAAGCAAACCTTCCCTAAGTAGATTGTATCATAGAATCATAGATACAGAGCTGGAAGGGATTTCCAACTTTACCTAATCCAATGCCCTCACTTAACTTAGGAGATAACAGAAATAGGTGTCACAGACACAGTGCACAAAACACTAGGCCTGGAATCAGGAATTTGGCTGTTCAAATTCAAGATGCTTTGCATGACCCTAGTCATTTGACCTCTGCTTGTCTCAGTTTCCTCATCTGTAAAATGGAGATAGTAATAGCAATTACCTCCCAGGATTGTTATGAGGATCAAATGATATAATAATTGCAGTGCTTAGCACAGTGCCTGACACATAATAATTATTACATAAATGTTAGCTATTTGGTATTTTTTAAAAAATAATGTTCTGGGCAAAAAAAGCTCAAAATCACCGAGACTGAGTTTATCTTCTACAAGCTCATACTATGCTTTGGTCACCCTGCATAGCCAAAATACATGTTTTCATTGCCACCAGGAAGTTTTGGAGCAGCTAGTTTTTCAACCTCAGGGTTCTCTCATCATCTTTCTTCTTGTCACGTGTCATAGAATTCGCTGGCAATGTGGTCTGGTCTGTAAAGCAATAGAAAGGAGTTCTGAGTTCTGCTCCCAGCTCTATTTCTGATTCAGTCTGACTTTTTAGGAAAGTGTCCATTTCCATATCTGTAAAATTAAGACTTCAAAAAAAATGACTTCCTTCTCTAGAATTCAAAGTCTAAAGAGATTTCTGTTCTTGGACCAAAAAAAAAAGGTCCTTTCTCAGCAAAATGCTGAAAAAAATTGCTAGCACTAATGATCAGGAGATGATTTTGTTTAAGTTTAATTATCTTTCCCAATAGGGTAGGTATCTACGGAAGAAATGTAGCTGAATCTGATAGAAATGTATTCCTCACAACAAATGAAAATAAGACTAGTAGTTTAGTTGGGTTTAATATCTGCTTGGTTGCCCTGAGCTAATTTAATCATTCAATATAGGATTAGCATAAAAGCTGCAGCCTTTTGGTTTATGCAGTTTTCTGAGCACAAGTCATTTTCTTAGCTTTATTTGCCTTCTCTTTTCAATCTTCACCCTGCAAGATATTATAGTGGTGCATACCTGCAAGGCAGGGAATCTTTACAAATGGCAATCTTTGGTAGTTATCTTAAAAAAAAAACTGGCTCCCCAATGATAACATGTAGTATATTAAAAAAAAAAAACACTCCTATTTTGTCTGCCCTCCTTTTCTGTTGCCACCTTGCAGTTTGTGACTTCTGGATAGTGGGAGGTCTGATGAACTGAACAAGACAGGCTGCAAGGAATTCCATTCCTGTCGAAATCCGTGATCCCTTGGTAGAGACAGCTCCTTCCACTCGGTGTGATTTCTTCTGTGTGACTTTGCAAGGGGCTCTGGTATGACTGCTGAACGTATGGCTCACAGAGGGAACAGTACAAGGCAAAAGGAAGCAAGCTGACTGGCTCACAGACGGGAGAGAGAGAGAGGAGCCCACAGCACAGCAACTGGCTTCCCTCTAACATGCAATTTTGAACTCAGCAAAACTGAAATCAAATTACCATCATATTGTGTGGGTGAAGGATTAAAGAGACGGGGCTACCGACTGCCTTAATGAGGATGAAGGATCCAGTAAGTCAAAGAACAACCAAGTACATCTAATGTCTGGACCCTGAAGCCTCATGTAAGTTTTCATTATGCTCTGTATTGCTGAAAACTATTTTTAGTGCTATGTTATTTGCCTTCCAGTGTGAAGCTGTGCTTGGCTAAAAGGCAGTCATTACAATTAGTGCTTCTAGTGTGGCCAATTGCCTCGCAATCGGTACAGGAGACTTTTTTTTCTCTTTTGTATATGAAGAGACATAGTCCAAGCTGAAATTGCCGACAGAAGTCTGTGACAATCCAGTTTAATACGGCATGTGAACTATAACCAAAAGCATATCCAATTACAAGAAGGGTGACACTGATGTATTTTTCATCAACAGGCTTAAGGTAGAAAATACAGAATCTTGTTCTAGGGGACTGCAAACTATGTTAATACAACTGTATTTAATATAGTGCACTCAACAGTATCAACAGAATGAGATGTAGCTAATGAGGGAGCCTGGGTAGTCACAAAACTTTTTTGCTCAAAACATATTTTTCTCCCTGAATTCTCACTTTCCATTTTACAAACTCATTCTGCTTTGTAACCTTGTTAAAGGAGAAAACACACACACACTCACACACCCCAAAATAGATCTATCAGTGGATTTTATATGGGATACTAGAGGAAAGAATAACAACCACATACTTCTATAATTCCTATCAGTTCTTTAAATATTGCTTTAAAGATGAAGGGGGTGGGAAGAATCAATGCATTGTCAAAGCCCATCAGTTTCACCAGCTTCAGGTTTACATAGTATGGGGATAAAAAAAGATAGATGAACAGTGGCCAGAGGTTATAACTTGTTCTTTTTTTTCATATTTCATCTTTGCAAAGTTCAGGCTGAGAAATGGATATTCTTGTGGAAGAGGATAGCTCTGTGACCCCAACTACAAACTCCTTAATACAATTAAACCATGACAGAAGACTCTACAAACCTGATTTCCTCTCTGGAGAGAACAACACTTCTGATGCACTTAACTGGACCGTGGATGCTGAAAATGGCACAAACTTCTCCTGTGAAGGTGGCCTCGCGCCCCCTTGTTATTCCTTACTCCATTTCCCAGAGAAAAACTGGCCCGCATTGCTGACAGCTATAGTGATTGTTCTTACCATTGCTGGAAACATACTTGTCATTATGGCAGTCACGCTGGAGAAGAAACTGCAGAATGCCACCAATTACTTCCTGATGTCACTTGCCATTGCTGATATGCTGCTGGGTTTCCTGGTGATGCCAGTGTCAACATTAACCATCTTGTATGGTGAGTATCACTTATGTTCCCTGATGCACACTCACTCACTCACTAGTCACAAAGTGTGTATGTGTGTACTTGGGCTCAGTAGATTAGAAATATGTATCAGGAAAAAATAGAAGAAGAAATAGCCATTATTAAGACCCAAGTCTCTCATGTTCTGGTAGCTAATGAAAAATTACTCTAATTAATATGGATGTTAGATCATATGGAAAAGGGAAGACAGTTACCATGGGAAAAAGTCAGAGTATCAGTGTTTAGGGGCAGGCATATATAATTTCTTCCTAACTCTTCTAAGTTTTAATGCTTCTAAACAGGTATTTGTTTTGTATTGGTCCCAATGCTATCACAAAGCAATAACTTATGGCTTACTTGTCAGGACTCTGCTTGATTTTTGGTCCTTCATATTCTTCCCCAGCAAACATTCCAGCCTTCATGATAGAACAGCTTTATCTTTGTCACCCAGTTTTCTGCACTTCTAACGTAGCAAAGCCTTCCCCATTACTCTGGAACATTTGCAGAGCAAACGTTAATGGTGCAGTGAGCTTCACGTTAAAATATGCAAGCCTCTATTAGAATAAAATTTAATTACTCCCATTTTTAATCATTCTCTCCCCCGAGGTTCTTTGACTGCACTTTTCAATGACATCATCAGCCATTCAAATATGCGTACACATACCATTGCAACCTAAAATATGCAGGGGGTAATTTTAATGAAGGTAGATTAGAAAGTAGGGGGAGAGATTTCACAGCATTTAAAACAGTCAAATAAATGTATGGGTGAAGTCTGCAAACATTTGACTGCTTCAGCTGGGAAACAGAGTGTATGATACCCTTTCCAGCAGATGAGTAATACAACTAGGTATAAATAAATAAAAATCCTTCAGGCAGCTGACAGCTACAAACTGACAGGCAAATAAAGGTTAAAGAGATGAGTTACGAAGGAGTTCCCATTTAGAGATGCTTTTCTGGCCAATTTTTAAGAACATGACTGGTATAAAAATCAGCACAGAGCATGTGAGATGGGGAGCGGAGGAAGTGAGGGAGCCAGGTTGCACAGAATGCGGACGGTTCCCTCACTGAAAGTCTTAAAGCTCACTTCTCAGCCGTGCTGACACCCCGGGACAGTTGCACGAAATTAACGTTGTCTTTACCCTGAGCCCCAGCGTCCTACTGCCCTCCAAGGTGAACACCAGCCTGGGTGTTATTCTAGAAAATACAAAGCGAGAGAAGAAGAAAAGGAGAGAGGGGACCAGTCCTGGGTTAGTAAAGAGCAGGCTGTAGGAATGGGAGCCAGGAGACCAGGGATGCGCCCCGAGAAAGCAAAGTGGTTTGTAAGACTTAGCAGCTATACTCTCTAAGCAAAGGAGTCGAGGGCCGGGAACCGGCTTTCACTTGAGAGGACGGCAGTGCCCCCTGGCGGTTTACGCTGGCGCTCCTTGCCTCCCTTCCACCGTTCGCTGCTGCGGTGAATACCCTGCTGGATACTTTTCATCCACTTGCGCTCTGAACTCTTTTGGGATGTCGCTTAGTGGCCGGAAAGACCCTTAAAAAAGTTCAAACCCCCACTGCAACTACTCAGTGTAAGCCCCGCTGCTTAGGAAACTTTGCAAAGGCGAGCAAATCAGCCTAATGAGGCTTTCCTGACAGACACAAAGTCTCCAGCCTTGGCTTGGGCTGTTTGCCAAAAAACCTCAGCAGAAGTCTTCTGGTTAGGCTGGCATCCTACATACCACCCTCTAGATTTCGAAGCATTCACATAAGCATTTTTATGAGAGTATTTTTACATTAGGGAGAGTTTCTGAAAATATTTCTGGCCCATCATGAGGTATGGAATCTCATGATAGGTTATAAAAACAATTATTACAACTTTGCACCTCACCAGTACAGAAACCTAACACCTTCTCCAAGCCTCGACATGACTCCAAGAACTGTTAATATGAATGAAACCATTAATGATTGGGGGGAATCACTTGATAAAGTTGCTTTGGGCAATTTAGTTTAAAAAAAAAAACTTTGTTACTCTCAAATGCTTTGTATAACAACAGATAAGGCAAGCTTTAAGTGTGTACAGCAAAACTATAGTAAACACTAAGTGTTATGAGATACCTAAAGCTGTTGCCCCACTGATGCTAACCCTCTTTGTTGCTATAGGGTACAAATGGCCCTTGCCCACAAAACTCTGTGCAGTCTGGATTTATCTGGATGTGCTTTTCTCCACTGCCTCCATCATGCATCTCTGTGCAATCTCCTTGGACCGCTATATAGCTATTCGGAACCCCATTCATCACAGTCGCTTTAACTCAAGAGCTAAGGCGTTTTTGAAAATAATTGCTGTTTGGACCATATCAGTAGGTAAGTGAGGACATTCAGTATCTGTCTCCAAGCCGCAGTTCTCTGCTTTGCCAGAAGACTTGATATATTGGTTGACCTTTTTAAAAAGGACATTCAAAAATGTATAGTTTTGTTTGCCACATAATGTAATAATAATCTGATTTCCAAATTACTGAGGTTTTTTTTTTAATATATGGCCGGATAGATAACACAATTCAATTCAACAAGCATTTATTAAGTGTTACTATGTGTCTGGAGGACACTGTGCTAGGCATGAGGAATGCAGACAACAACAATTCCTGCCTTCAAGGAGCTTGCATTCTACTGGTGGACTCAAGCTATACTTCCTACATAAGCAAGAATATGTTTATGAAAAACATCATGGAGTAGTGAATAGATAACAGCCTTGGAGTCAGGAAAACGTGGGTTCAAGTCTTGCCTCTGACACGTCTTGGCTGTGTGATCCCAGATAAGTTCTTTAATCTCTTAGTACCCCTGGACAATTCTCTTCAGTGATCAATTTCAGAACAGTTGCTGACTTATACTGAAAGAATGAATTTCTTCACAGAAAGTTCCTTGCCTAAACTGAAGAAATCATAGTTCTGGAGAACAGATGGATGGATGGATAGATAGATCAATAGATGGCTAGATCTAGATTTATACTCTACACTTCTAAGTATATAGACATCCACATAAATGTACATATTACATACAGAAATACATACATACGCATCAAGTCAGCTCCATAAACTCTGCATCATATTCCTCCAATTTACAACTCCAAACCATGAGTTGTAACAAGACCCCTAATCAAAAAGATACTCAACCCCTAATCAAAAAGATACTCAACATCTGCTGAGCATCCATGACATTCAAAGTGCTGTTAATAGAAGATGTAGTTCTAACCACAAAGTAGCCTGGGAATGGGCTCTAACAAGTATACATTGGCTAGAAAGGATTGGAGTGAGGTGCTGGGGCTGAGTCAAGGACCCCTCCAGCCACTCACTTAGTACAGCTGAGTGCACCCCTGCACCTTCTGATAACACAGCACACATCAGAGGTTTTCAAGAGCACTGCATCTGCCAGAATGATCTCTTGTATTTACAGTAGACCAGTCTCGAACATCCATCATAAGTGGATGGCCAGAGAAGGGAAAAGCTCCCAGTTATCATTCATTTGTTGCTGACAGATACCTCCTCAGAATGTTTAGCTTTTAGCTAAGAATTCCTTGAGATTAATTTGTTTTAGAACCACAAGATGTGTCAGTGGGTGACGTTGCATCCTTCCTGGAGTGGATGTGTGTATGGAATAAGAAAACAGGCAATTTAAGTCCAAGCAGAGAAATAAGTCTGTGACCTAAAGTAAATTAAACCAAGGACCTAATGACAATCAGGCAATGAGTTAAATAAGTTGAATGCAATCAACCTCTTTTCTTCTTCCTCTTTCGTTTGGTTTTCATGGGTATAAATAAAACTTACATTCCTATTGCACATTTTAATTTTTGCAAAGCTTTTTCTATTTTTATAAATACTCTGAGAATTAGACGTAGTTATGTATGATCACCATTTGACAGAATTAAAAATGAAGCAAGGCAATATGATGCATCAGGAGGAACTGGGGATTTGTAGTCAGAGGCCCTAGGTTCAAATATTGGTTCTGATACTTACTATCTGTGTGTCCTTGGGCCCTAGTCAGAGATCTTGATCTTGGGTCAATAATGGCAGATCTAAGACTAGCACCCACATTTCCTTATTCATAGTCACAGGCCTACTCCTCTTCCCCACTCCTGTTAGAAAATGCCATGTTTGCTTTTAGGAAATGCATAAGCATTCTTGCCATCAAGCAAGAGCAGCTGTTGCAACATGGAGATACATGTAGGAGCAATGAGGATTTTGCATTTACTTGGACTAGTGTTTTGCAAACCATTCAACAACTTCTTTTAAGTGTCAACCATGTGCAAAGCACCATGTTTGGATATTTACTGACAGTCCAGGGGCAGTAGTCAGTCATCCACAAATTTTGGACTAAGAGAAATCCTTAAGCTGTGAAGGAGTTTCTTCCACTACAATCCTCACATGTGGTTATCAAGCCTCTAATTAAACATGTCCAGTGACAGGAACTCACTACCTACTAAATTAACCCATTTTATTTTGTTTCAGTTCTAATTATATGGAAGTTATTTATCTTAAACTGGAATTTGCCTCCCTGTATTTCAATTCATTAGTCCTACTTTTCCCCATCAGAAACAAGAAAAATAAATCTAATCCCTCTTCCATAATAACCTTCAAATATTTGAGCATAGCACCTATGTCACCACACACACATGAAACTGGGATATTTCATCTATAACTGTTGTAGATGAAATATCCCAGTTCCTTAAATTTAGTCTCATATAACATGTCATTTTTTAGTCCCCTCACTGCCCCAATAATAATCCTCTGGACACCTGTCAATGTCTCTTCTAAAATGTGGCACCTAGAACTGGACACAACACACCAGTTGTGACCTGACCAGGGCAGAATACAATGAGATGGCTGCTTCAGTCATTCGGTAGACTTTCAAATCAAAGAATTGTAGAAACTTAGTTTTGGAATGGACAGCACAGGTCATGGAGTTCAACCCAAACTGAGGAGGAATCCCTCTACGAGTTATCAGTCAGCCTTAGCTTGAAGACCTCCCGTAATGAAGTACTGGCTGCCTCCCAAGAAGACTATTCCACTCTAGTAGAGCTCTAAATGCTAGGAAGCTTTTCCATTGAAACAAAATTAGCTTCTCCACAATATCCACACATTGCCTCTCATTCTGCACTTTGGGACAAGCCAAACAAGTCAAGTCTTCTTCAATGTGACAGCCCTTCACATACTTGAAGGCAGCTCTTATGTTGTACCTGAGTCTTTTCTTCTTTAGGCTAAATAGCCTGTTCCATCAAGTTAAGATTGAGTGTTACATGGCAATGTATCCAGTCTTTCAATCATCCTAATCCTCCTTCTCTGTACGTGCTCCAGATTGCCAATATCCTTCCAAAACTGTAGCATAAAAATTGAATGTTGTACTCTATATGTGGTCTGACCAGTGTAGGGTATAAAAGGACTATTAGGTCCTTATTTCTGGAGACTGTGCTTCTGTAAATGAAGCCTGAGTTCACATTAGCTTTCGGTTGTTAGCTGTCATATCACATTGTTAATTCATATTAAAACGACAGCACACTAAAACCCCAAGGCTGTTTTAACAGAAACAGTTGTCTAGTCATCACTGCTTCATCTCAGGGGCAGCTAGGAGGTGTAGTAGAGTGTCAGGCCTGGAGTCTTCCTGAGTTCACATCTGGCCTCAGACACTTACTAGCTATGTGACCCTGAGCAAGTCACTTAACCCTGTTTGCCTCAGTTTCTTCATCTGTAAAATGAGCTGAAGAAAGAAATGGCAACCCATTCCAGTATCTTTGCCAAGAAAACCCCAAATAGGGTCACAAAGAGTTTCCTAAACCTAATGTAATTGGTTTTTTGAGCCCAGTTGTATAGTTTTACATGTATTATAATAATTATGATAGCATTTATAATACAATTTTATTGTATCTCATTTTATCTTCACAGCAATCCTGGCAGATAGGTGCTATTACTACTCCCCTTTTATGGGTGAGGAAACTGAGACAGAGGGAGGTTAAGTGACTTGCTCCAGGGTTACACAGCTAATCAGTGCCTCAGACCAGTTTTGAACTCAAGTCTTCCTCTCCCAGTGCTCCTATTCCCTGTACCACCTAGGTATTGAGTTCTTTTTAGGCTCCTTACTCTACTTTACCTCAGACACTTATTAGAGTTAACAGCAAGATAAGCTTATCCTAGGAGGGACATATTGGTCCCTTTTCACTTTTGCAAATGTATTGAGGGTAGGTTAGAATGGAGAAACTTGAGTCAGAGAGACCAATTAGGAAACTATTATAATAACCCAAGTAAAAGGTAATGAGGGCCCAAGCTAGGGTCGTGGCTATGGGAGAAGAGAGAAGGGGATGAATGTGAAATTTTGTGAAGGTAGAAATGAAAAGCTTTGGCAGCTGATTGATTATGTAAGGGAGCAAAAACTGAGGATTTGTGCATGATACCAAGATTGTAAACCTGTGTGACTGGAAAGATGGTGGCATCCTACACAGAAACAGAAAAATTAGAAGACAGGTGGGTTTGGAGGCAAAGATGTAATGGAATCTGTGAACCAGGTTTGGAATCCATCCAAGCCTGTTCATCTTGCATAATTCACACAGTCCCATTGATAATAAAAAGGGAGGGTAAGGCTCTATTCACAGTCTACTGCATCCCCCAAGATGTACAGATTGCTCTCCCCTCAGAGTGCCTACCAGAGCCATGAAGTCATCTGGAGGTAGGAAGTTGGAAGAATTTTACCTTGGCAGCTGTCAGTGAGGGTGCCTGGATCCTGATAAGGGGTCCACACCCAGTGGGAAAGGGAAAAGGTTGGGAGTTCAGTCACAGCAGGTCTGTGGCAAAGTATGGAACAGACCAGGTAGAGTTGGGACCATAAGTGATCATGCATAAAAGGATGGTCTTTTTGGAGACAAGCACAAGGATTGGCTATTAGGTAGTAAAGTCAGGTGTGACCCATGTACCCACCTTCTACCTCTATGGATCACGCCAAAGACCCACTCCCCTAATCTAGCAGCCCTGTCTAAAAACAAAAATGGTATGAGAGACCCTATGCTGGCTCTGAGCCATCACTAGTTCCCTTTCTAAATGCTCACAAAGCATCACATTAATAATACAGTACATTCCAGAATTTTGCCAGGAATCAAAGCCAAATGCAATGGTCTATAGTTTAAGGAGTCTATTTTCTTTCTTCTTTGAAAAATTAGGAGGATGTTTGCTCTAACTCTATGACACTTTCTCTCCCAATGATTTTTCAAAGATCACAAATAGCTACTCAGCATTACCATCCACTTTTGTCCATATCCTGGGATATAGACACAGACAATAAGCATTTATTAAGTACCTACTATGTGCCAGGCACTGTGCTAAGTG